CGCCGTGGCTTGTAGCCTTCTTCCAAGACGACGTGCTGCGGTGTTTCCTCGACGAACACGACATTGCCCGTCCGCAACTCGCCCAAGGTGTATGGGCGCTCTCGGCGCTTTCCTACGTCGTCGATTTTCCCAGCGACGCCACGTCGCCAGACGAGTTTGTGCTCGTGCAGAATGACGAAGCCACGCGCTTCTTCGCGCCGTCGCTCGCCGAGAAGCTGCGCTGGCTCCAAGTCCTTCGCAGCAGCGTCCAGCGGCTCGCCCAAGGCGGCACCGGCATGAATCTCTCACACAACCGCGTTGTGCCCAAGGCCAAGACAGCCCGCCCAGGACGTATGTCGGCCAAGCAGGTGGTCGAGCCGGCGCTGCCCGACGTCGCCTACATCGTCAGCGCGTTTCCGCCACTCGAGTCGTAGGCGTCGAAAGAGTTCATGCACAGCAATGTTGCAATAAGTTATTTGACGCCACTTGTACGGCGCCTAATCTACAGACGGCCATCCGCTCCTCACGCCGTCACAAGCGTCGTCGTGTGCAGATGGTAGTCTGTCGCGCAGAGCGGCGCGACCGCGTCTTGGTGATGCTTTGTCTTGCGTTGCCACTCTTCCCACCACGCGACAGTCTCTTCGAGCACGGGATAGAAGAACGGCTCGCGCTTCGCGGCCTTGGCCTTGCGCAGCTCGGCTTGGAGAAGGCGCACGTCTTCGAGTTCATCGTCGGGGCTGGACCAGATCGAGTTGCGGCGTGTGGGCGCTGCATGTCGGAGCTTGGCCACGGCGACAACCAGCACCAAGGCGACCGAGGCTACGACGACGCCGATCGTCTCGCTGGCGCTCAAGGCAGGAAGCATGGTCTTGGGCCGGCGTCTTCTGATGTGGCAGGCGCAGTGGGTGTGGGCCGTTCGACCGCTGTATTTTTACGTTGGCATAGCAATCGCTGCGACACGCCGTTAAAAGTGATTGTCTATACTTGTGGTATGTATGCCACAATCCGATGCTGGTATTTTATGAGAGAAGCCTTTGGAACGGGCGAATCACGAACGGCCGAGGTCGATTGGAGGAGGTGCGCATTCCAGGGTGATAGGGCGGAAATCGACATAAGCGCACCGAATTGCAGAAAAGGTGCAGTATTGAAACTGTAGACTGGTCGACCGCTCACCGCGATCGGTGCGCTTTTAAACGGCTGTTGGGGTGCTGTGCGTGCATCGAGCGGAACCTGGAGTGCGCGCACTCGCGAGGGTACTCTTAGCGACGATGCCAACCAAGTGACTGTGTCGCTCCAGACACCTGCGCATGCACTTACGACAGCAAGGCGAATAGCAAGGACATAAATTCAATTATGTCCTTCATACTAGTAAAGGTCAAAGGACATCCTGTGACCAAGCACGTGCATGATCAATCTGAACTCAGTGGCTTGCTTGATGAAGTACATTGGATACAAAAGTGATCGCAACTCCCTATAAGCCATCACTATTGCCTAGAAGAGGCGACAACTCGCAGTCATCCAGTGTCTACGGCTGCATGGGATGCGTATAGTCCTCAATCCTCGTTGAAAGTGCACACTGGACGCCTTGCGACTGCTACAGCACAGTGACTGTACAGCAGCCATCTCTGCACGGTGTCCATTTCTCAGTCCCACCTGCGCTTGCTAGAGCGATTGCGGTACGAAGCGATGGCCGTAAAGTGATTCGTGGGCTGCCACAGCAACGTTTAGCTGCCCTTGCAGTCACATGCAATGTTAGATGTTTTGTATGGGTATACAACGAGGGGCAGGGATTTCCCCGGAAGTTGTTTCCGTGAGACATGAAGCGGATTCCCGGAAGCTCCCGGAAGCAGCTTCCGAGCGATTCTGTGTGTTTGATCGCGCAAAGCGAAGACGACGAGCCCCGCAAAAGCTCGCTTACCACTGCACTAGCCTCTCGAAGGCCGTTGGTAGCACCGCACACCCGACACCACGTATTGCTATGGTATCGTGATGAATCCGCGTTGATGATTCCACTTCGGCGTATCCATGCAGCGTTTCCATTGGCTCTTCGAAATTCGAGGATGGCCAATCACACTCACTTTTGGATTTGCATCACGTCACGATGTCGTCTTTCCTCGTCTGCTTGACCTCGGCCCTCGCTCTTCATTCTTTCTTTTCCTCCGCGGCGCCAACAACGAACGATATGGCTACTTGTGCTGCTGTTCGTGCTGCGGCCGTCTTTGCCAACCACGGCGCTGGTCCGTTCCCGATCCTCAAGCCATCGACGGACCCCAACCACGGCCCGACGCGTCTCTTCCTCGAGACCAAGATCCCCGAGCTTCTGAACCTCAACGATCCGACCAAGCGCCCGAAAGCCATTGTCATCGTCACGGCGCACTGGGAAGAGCCGTTCGTGGCCATTTCGTCCGGCGCATCCCACGACCTCCTCTACGACTACTACGGGTATTGTCTCCTCAGCGATGAATTGCGAACCCACGGCTTATGTTTCACGCGTAGCTTCCCCCAAGAGGCCTACTCGCTCACGTACAAGGCGCCAGGGTCGCCGGAGATCGCTCAAAAGATCCACCAACTTCTCAAGGATGCCAACATTGTTTCGCGCCTCGACCCGACGCGCGGCTGGGACCATGGCACGTTCGTGCCTCTCAAGCTCATTCATCCGGATGAAGACATCCCGATCATCCAAGTGAGCGTCGTTGCGGGCTTGGATCCCCTTCACCACTTCAAGATCGGCCAAGTGCTCTCGGTGCTTCGCGACGAAAACATTGCGATCGTCGGGTCTGGTGCGACTTTCCACCCGAGTCGTGGCACAAGCGACCTTGAGAACAAGGCGCGCAAGTTCAACGTGGCGCTGACCGAGGCGGCGTTGGAGGCGGACGTTGAGGACCGTCGCAATGCGCTAGCCAACTGGGCGACTCTCCCGCACGCGCGCGACTGCCACCAGCGCGAAGAGCACCTGATCCCAGTACGCGACTCAACTTCTTTCAAGCGGATGCTGATTATGTATTTTTGTCTAGCTGCATGTGATTGCTGGTGCTGGTGCCGGCGACAAGGGCGAGGCGTTCAACGTGGACAAGGGCATGTATACCTCGTTCGCGTGGCGGGCGTAAGAGCATTCGCGTCCTTGCTGTGTGATAATGACGAATAGTACAACTCTACATGTTATATAGTTCACTTGGTTGGACGGAAGAATGTTCTAGAGTCGATGAATGTGGAGTCCATCCAGGCTACCGGTAATTTGGTGATGAACGAACACCATGTAGTAGCCTCGTAAAACATATCTGGGTATCTCTATGCAATAAAATAAGAAAAGGGATCACATTCATTGGTCATTTTTCAACTATTTTCAACCAATCCTGTACGAATTTGTCATGGATCACCTCGCACCTCGCCATCATCGAGCTTGTCGGAGCTCCAATCGCGTTCGAAAATGAAATCGCTTAAACTTACCATGATGATAAAAGACACGATGTAGATTACGGAATTCTGCTCCGTGTCGGCGTACGAGGTGTCGAGTGCGAGAAATTCATACAACAATATCATATATGGCATATGCCATATATAGCCATGTATTGCCACATTTAGTGCTCATCAAACCTCGTCATGATGGCACGCGCCTGCATGGTGTGAGTATCCCACCAACTCAAGGCTTCGAAGTTACTCTACTCGGATAGTTCTATTTTGTTTCATGGACTGTCACCGCACTGCTCTCACCTCCAAAACGACAAGTCTCCGCTATGTCGATGTTGCTGTCATTCTAACCATTCTGCTGCAGCTTGAGCCCAAACCGTCGCGGGAGGGTTAAACGCGTCGACTTAGCGCAGTAATTGTGGAGGTGCATAGACACATGTCTGAGCAAGAAACGTAGTACGTACAATGTAATTGCAAGAGACCTACGAGGCACTTATGTCGCGGGCGGCCTCTACGCGTTGTCCTCGCCTTCGTCGTCGCTCTGGTCGGCGTAGCTCAGGAGCTTCATCTGCTTTTGTTGCTCGATGGCCGCGTGGTGCGTCGCGGCAAATTGCGTGTCCGTGTCCGGGTACATGTTGGCGTCCGTGAGCGCCTTTTGCTTCTTGTTGGTCTGCATCTGGTACGTCTCGGGGTAGTCGAACGGCGCGGCCGTCGTCGAGACGTTGCGCGACTTGAGCATCGCGTGCACCGCGTCAGCGTCCGCACGTTGGGCCGCAGCCTTGGCGACTGGGTTCGGGTCGTCCATGGCCCACTTGATTTGGAGGATTTCGCTGTCTTCGAGCGCCTGGTTGCTCATCGCTTCCTTCGCAAACTCGGCCGACGTGCGGTGGCGATACCGGACGAACGCCGTCGTGAGGCGGTGCACAATGTTGACGTTCTCAACCTCGCCCCACTCTTCGAACGCTTGCATGACGATGTCGGTGACCATGCTCTTGGGCTTGAGCCCGCCAACGTACAAGGTCCGCGAGTTGCGCATAAAGTTGCCGGCGCCCGCCATGTCGTCACGATCAGTCGCATGACGCTCGCGGCCAAAGCAGTCGTGGAGCATGCCGAGGCGAAGCTCGTCGGCCATCGTCGGGAGCCGATGGAAGTAGTTGCACTCGGTGCCCCGCGCGCAGCCACCGCGGGCAAAGTGGAGGCAGAAAAACTTGTTGGATTTGCCAATCTTGTCGGCCTTTGTGTACCCGCCGTCCGTTTCGACGCAGCAGCGATGCTCGGCCGGGTCCTGGCCCTTCGTGTGGTCCCAGTTCTCGCCGACGTACTTGTCGTACCAAATGTTGTACTCGTTCCCGCCTTCCATGCGCGTGTTCTTGGTCGGCATCGCATCGATCTGCTTGCGCGCGGGTCGTTGCAAAAGGCGCGTGTTGAGATCTTCGTACTTGCTCGCATTGTCAATACCCGCTTGGCCGCGGCCAAACCAGCCCGTCGAGTGCGGGGCTGCACCCATCTCCTTGGGGCGCTCCCACTGCGTCGCGTTCGTCTCAATGTGGTAGTAGTAGATCTTCTGCGTCGACGGGTCCAGCGCCTCGCGCCACTTGTTTTCGTGGTTTGCCGCAGTGTACACGAGCGCGTCCGGCGCAGCGACCTTGGCCGCGCGGCAGCGCATGCAGCGTGGCCGGCGTGCGTAGTTCTCCTGCCCGCAGTCCTTGCAGTGCCAGTTCTTCTCGTACACCGTGTACGCAGCGCCCGTCGGGCCTTGCACGCCGACGGCCGTGAGCTTGCGCGGCAGCGACTCGTCATCGTGGGGCCGCTTCACGCCACCTCCGTCCATCTTGTCTCGGTCGGTGAACTGCGATTGGTCAAAACTTCGACCTTTCCTGCACGCAAGCAGCTTAAAAAGCAATAGAAAGCAAGCGACATTGCGACGGCTGATTGGCGGATTCCGACAATTGGCAGCAGCACGATGATGCAACAGGACGATGACATTGGCCTCTCGGCCGACGCGCTCGCCGCGCTCCGCGAGTTTGCAATGGAGCGCGGCATCGACGTCGGCGATGACGAGAACGATTTCGATGTCCGGAAAGGCGTGCAGTCGGCGCTCGAAGAGGCCAAGGGTCCGAACGACGAGTCATTCTGCTTTACGTTTGGCGACGACATTGAGATCCGCCTCAATGGCCTGCGCCGCGACATTGGCCAGACACTCAACAGCACGGGTCTCACACTCTGGCGCGCCGGCGACTTTCTCTCGGACTTCATGTTCCGTCACAAGTCCTTGTTTGAGGGCAAGCGCGTGCTCGAGGTAGCCTCGTGGTGCATCTCTGCAAATGACTCATGCTTGTAGTTTGGGAGTGGTCTCGGTCTCTGTGGCATTCTTGCTGGCAAGCTCGGTGCGAACGTACTCATCACGGTAAGTTCTTCCTTGTTCGCAAGGCCCCTCATGCCTCGCACATAGGACGGAGACGACGAGTCGATGCCGGTACTCATTGACAACTGCAAGCTGAACGGCATGGACCCTACGGCGTGCTGCAAGCAGCTGCTCTGGGGCACGGAGCTCACACCCGAGACGAAGGGGTGCTACGATGTGCTCCTCGGCGCCGATATCATTTACGAGAAGGCGTACGTGGCACCGCTCTTCGCGTCCGCCAGCCATTTCCTGTCGCGGCGCCCCAACCATCTCTTCTTGCTCGCGTACACGAAGCGCAACGTCTCGATCGACTACGTATTGGCGTGTGCGCGCGCGGAGGGCTTCCAGTGGGTCGCGCCGACGACGGACGAAGGCATCTACCACTTTACCTTTGCGCCGTAGTAACTAACGAGCAAGTGGCGATTTTGGCTCCATATTTTATGTGAAAGTGTACGGCAATCGATAGTCACAAACACACCATGGAGCTACACCAAAAATTCGGAAACGCTTTGACTCGTACTAGCACCAAGATTTTAGAGCTTTACGGCGGCTCGATGCGTGGGGTACCGAAGAGATGGCTTCACGTTGCTTGATACTTCGATGTGTGTTTCTTTAACACGGGGCCATGAATTCGCGGTTCAATGCCATGTCGGCGGACGACTCGATCATTGCTACTGCTGCATACCGCAGAACGGTTCACTCATCCAAAGAATGCTCACCAAATCAACCGAGCGCTTTCGTTGCATCATACTGTTCCGACTCGGAGTGCACCACGAAAAGTATCATCCAAAGATCCAAAGAGCCGAAAAGAACGCTCTGTCCCCGCCACCGGCTGGAGGTTCGGTGTCGATAATGGACGCGTGGTGATCAGCAATGATTGAAAGACCGGTAACGATGCATGGTCGTCGGACTTGGACCTCCATTTGTGTCTCGTACTCTGCAGGATCGGCGCGCAAGCATATTTATTCTAATGGAATTACGTCGGGTCGTTGGGCGGCCAAGTGGGCTTGAAACTGCCGCAGAATTGCCCTGGACTTTGCAATGTGCGGTCGCTTTTGCTTGATGAAATCCAGCGCTTGGTCGATGGACCAGTCGTGCGCCTGCATAAAGTATGCGGCCACGACGATCGTGCTGCGTCCGCGCCCAGCCTTGCAGTGCACGTAGACCGTCTCGCCGCGCGCGACGTGGTCAGCAACAAACGTGACGCACGATGCGAGACTGTCGAGCGTCGGTGGCGCAAAGTCTCGGGTCGCTGCCAGGTGTTGCACAATACCGAGCTCGCGCCAGTCATCTACGCAGCGTTCGTTCCATGGAATGGGCATCGATCTGTGTACCAGGCGTCACGGGGCGCCCCAGTCGGGTGGGCTGCATCTCAAACGGTTCGTTCATAGTGACGACAGCGGCAACACCTTCTCTTTGAAGCTAATGCATTCCACAGATAGGTGCACGTGAGAACAACACGCAAGCGAACTCGCTACAAGTCCCACAAGAAGATGGTGGCCGCGGTCGGCCAAGGGCAGCGCGCCAAGGATGATGTGGTCGTCGATGCGGGACCACCACGATCGGTTCGCGAGCACCTTCATGGCGAGGTTGTAGCCGAGAGATACACGAAAGATCTACAATGAGATACCACCACATGTCGTGAGGAGATGTGAGCGCGATGGGCCAGCCGATCCTACCGCAGCTCGGAGCAGCATCGCGGCGCAAAATGCAAAGTGCACTTTTTACCCAATCCGCGTCGCCTAACGACTTGTTCCTAGCAATGATTGGTTGAAATGAAACTATTTTCGCCAATCGCGTGCGCACAGCAGCCGATCTTGATCGGCAGTTGGCAAGTGCAGGAAGTTGAGATCGCTCGCCGTCTTGACCAGTGAAGCCAAAGTGATCTTGGGTTCGCTTGGACTTGGCTCTGTGGCCGATCAATCGAGGCCCGTGTCTATAGCCACATGCGACCATGCCGCCGCTGCTAACACACAGTCACAGCGTTAGTACGCGGTCCGAGGCGACGCGCGTTCCTTGATTCGATCGCCACGCTGCCAAAGATGTTGAACTACTCCAATAGATGGTCTTAATAGTCCACTCATAGTATGACTCGGACTGCACCTCGATAGAGTGCCAGTGCATGGCCCCTGTTCTGCACTTGGCGGGTTTGTTGCGTTCCAACGGCTGAAGATGCACTCTGATTGTCCAGTTGCTGTTGCGCCCAGTACGTAGTAGAAAACGCAGCGACGACTGGCGAGCAATGCGGCCGCGACACACTGGATTGCGCAGAGAGGGTCATGCATCCGTGCACCTGGTTGTAGTCTCGACTCTGCCGATGAGGCTGCTGGAAGTGCGCCGTTCGATTTAAAAAACACCCCATTACAATACACTGGATCTCAAGTGAGCCGGAAATAATATAATTCAAACGAAAACATTCCGGTCTGAGAAGCCGGAGGCGACCGACATCGGTTTCCGGAATCGCGATTTTGCAGCCATGAGCCAAGATCTTGTGGCGCAGCTCCATGCGCTCGGTATCCGCATCGCGCCGACGGACCAGATCTTCCGCACGGGCAGCGAGCTCCACGACGACGGTGGCATCGGCTCGGCCATACCCCAAGAGGTCCACTTCATGAACGCGGAGCTGCGCAACTGCGAGATCCTCGGCGTCGGCGTCGTGCCATGCCTCTTCTCGGGCTCGGGGCATGTCTACGAGTTTGTGCGCACGCTGCGCAAGTGTATTTATGGTAAGGTCAAGCACGCCGTGGAGCTGACGCCGCACCCGAACGGCTCGGGCGTCTTTGTGCGGACGAACCTCGAAGTCGCGATCAAAGTCATGAGCAAGGCCATCATCGAGCAGGGCAACCTCCAGGAGAATCCCATGGTCGAGCTCGCAACGCAGCAGTACCTCTCGACGCCGGGTCATCCGAATGTTCTGCCGCTGGTACGACAGTGATTGCACGCTCGATCCATGCTTGATGCGCGTCGTAGCTCGAGTGCCTCCACGACCCCGAATTTATCTATGCGGTGCTGCCCTTCTGCAAAGGCGGCGAGCTCTTCTCGCTTGTCGAGAGCGGCGGCGCCATGGACGAAGGCGAGTGCCGGCACTGGTTCGCCCAAGTGCTCAACGGCCTCTCGTACCTCCAACACCGGTTGATTTGCCACCGAGACATGTCGCTTGAAAACGTTCTCCTCGATGGCAGCATCTCCAAGGTCCAATCACTCGACGTCTCACATATTCCCGAATGCCCCGTGTAGATTATCGACTTTGGGCTGTGCATTGGCATCCCCGTTGACGCACAGGGCATGACATACTCCTTGCCGCCCGCTGGCGCCGTGGGCAAGATCTTTTACATGCCGCCCGAGGTCCGCCAACCTTTGCAATAATATCACATTTTCTCATTTTGTGTGCTTGTAGATCTACCGGAACCAAGTGCCGTTCAATGGGTTTGCGGCCGATATTTGGTCAACGGGCGTCATGCTCTTCATCATGGTGACGGGTGCGCCGCCGTTCGAGCGGCCCGACGACGTGGACCCACGTTTCCAGATGATCGCGACAGGCCGGCTCAACGAGATGCTCGACTCGTGGGGCATGCATCACGTGAGTCGAAGTGTCCGGGACCTCCTCAATAAGATGCTGGTCGTCCATGACCCGCGGCAACGGCTCACGGTCGAGCAGATTGCACAGCACCCGTGGGTTCTCGGCCAGCACTAAGTACAAACGCTGAGCATAATCACTCGCTCGTGGACCAAATACACTACCCTGTTACTATTGCTCGCAAGCGGTAATAACAAGATAACACACCCGGAAATAGTCGTGAGAAAATTTAGGTCGAATGAGTAGCAAGTTTGCACAACATGGACGCAGAAGTATCCTGAAAGAAGTAGCCAACGTCACAAGGGTGGTAGTCGCTAGTCGCAATCGAAGTAGTCGCTGCCCGTCCCCGACGGACCGTACTTATTGGTCGGAGCCGGCGTTGGCTGCACTGACGGTGTGACGCTCGGGTAGGGCATCGGTGCAGGCGTCGATCCGGGTGGTGAGAGAGGTTGCGGAGCCGCCGTCGTTGATGGCAAGAAACTTGGCGTCGGGTGGGACTTGGACTGGACGACGTCAGCCTCCCAGCACGATATGTACTTGGCTTGATTGGCGTTGAAGAGCCACTCCCAGTGGAACGTGTACGTGCCGAGCGCGAGGTCCGGCTCCAGGTCAAAGCAGAGCGAGCAAAACGCGTTGGGCATGTTTTCGCAGAATTTCGGGCAGTTCTGGAACCCTTTGTAGTCGATGACGCCGTTCGCGTGCTCGCCGTTGGTTGTGTTGGGGTACTGAACGGGCCACTGGCCTAGGGCAGGGTCGGCCGTCGCGCCGACCGTCGACCGGTAGATGGTCATGCCGTTGTCCGGAATGTACTGGTTCGTGCAATGGTCCGCCACGTGGTTCTTGGCAGGGTACGCGAGGCAGACGCGCTGCCCGGGCACGTACGTCGCCTTGGGATATGTCGACGTGTAAGCGTTGTTCGAGCCTTGCGCGCATTGACACGAGTTGCCCTTCGCGGACTGGTAGTCGAGCGAGCCTTCGTTGCCAAAGACACCGTTGCCTACAACCAGCAATGAGCTGTGCAATTTCGACAGTAGTCGTACGGGCTGCCGAGCAACGGGGATACCCGAAGCACTTGGACGCGTCCCAGTAGTTGCGGTCTTCCACCGACGTCATGAGATAGTCGGAGCACTCTAGCATCGCCTCGTCAGATACCATGCAGCACGAAGACTTAACTACCAATCCACGAGTGGGCAGCGACAGCCCCAAGGAGCAAAAAGAGCTGGCGCACCATAGCTCACCGAGTCGAGTAGGCTCAGGCGCGCGGGATGCGGAATGAGCTTGAGCATCGCGGGAAGAGCGAAAGGCGAAGGCTATCTTTAGCGGGCAAGCCCCCAGGAATAGGCGCCGACGGCTCGCCATGTCGATGGGCAAGGTCGCACGAATACGCATCATGATCTGCTTAGCAGTGTATAGCGAAACGTACAAGCACGAGAAAATCCGACAACGGGGTCAGTTTTTTTAGCTTTAAAAATAAAATGCAAGGCGATTGCGTGTAGTCGAGCTGCGCGTCGCGTCGAGTCGTTGCTTATAGGAACTGCGCCATCCAGCGGAAGCCGTCGGCGTACCCCATTCGCCGCACGACCGAGCACATGTACAGTTCGATCGGGCGAATGTTGGCGTCACGGTCACCACGGGCCTCCTTGCCGTACGTTTCGTAAAGGCCAAGGGCCGCGCGAAGCTCGTCCTCCGAGGCGGCGCGCGGGATATCAATCTTGTTGCCCAAGACAAGGAACGGGACGTTGGCGAGCTCGTCGCAGCCGAGGAGCGTGTCCAACTCGCGCTTCGACTCAGGGAAGCGGTCGCGGTCGAGAGCATCGACAAGAAAGACGACACCGTCAACCGTGGCAAAGTAGTCGCGCCAGAGCTTGCGAGCGGTTTCGTGGCCGCCCAAGTCGAACGTGCGAAGGCGAAGCTTGCCAATAATGAGTTCTTCCGAGTCTAATGCTCCACCATTAGCACAGGGCTCTCTTAGCATGTCGATGGGTACGTACTCGGGTGCAACGTCGGCTCGTGCACGGCAACGCGGTCGTCCTTGAGCATGTGGAGGAGCGTCGTCTTACCGGCGTTATCCAAGCCAAGGAACAAGATCTTGGCGTTCTTGCGGTGGAGACCTGCATGTACAGAGATCAACCTTCCGCAGGTCGCTCCATTATGGCCGTACCGAGGAAGCCCAAGACGCCGTAGAACCAGTCAACAAAGAACATCTTCTGCGTCGGAAACGAAAAGCGAAAATGAAGTCCAAGGCCCCTCGGCCCCATACAAAGTCCAAGTCTTCCAGGTGGCAATAAAACCACCGCCCAAAACGTTCTTTCGCACGGGCCACGTCATGCCATGGGTATCGAATATACGGTAATATGATTTAATAAAGGTATTGGTAGGTTTAAACAAGCGTACTTCTAAAGATTTGAATTTCATAGCCACAGGATATAAAATAATACAGGGTGTTGGGTCAGAGGTCCACGTAGCGTGATGAATCGGATTTAGACCAATCACAAGGCGACAAGGATATTTCGCGTGTTGGCGTAATCGATGTAATGGGGGACGGGGAAGGTCGCGCCATTTTCAAGCGCAGCAAGCTACTCAGCGCAACGCCAGCGGCCGAGACGACTACGGTGACAGCGCTCAACGCTTTCGCGAACACAATGTACGCTTGTGGCAGCTGCTATTGCTTCTACAGCTTCGCCTCGATGTGTCGAGTCGACGGGTACGAGACGCGCCATGTTTATAGCCGCGACGCAGAGCCAAGTCGTTGAAGCAGCCGAGTTTGGGCGATGACATTGCATAATCTACTCCTTGGTCTCTCGTGGCACGGCTGCTCTGCTACTATGCATCCGTGGGATTGTGGACGCCTTCAATGTCGACAAAGTGTTGTGTCCAGGTTTCGCCCGTCCCCGTTGCGTCTTGGCTCCTACTCGCATGTGTCATGCATAGAATTAGCCTCAATGGTTGAAGGACATACATATCACTTACGGATCCATGGCATCGTGAAGGTCCCGGGGTGTGAGTTGCAACAGTGGCTCCCCGCGTGGCGAGAGCTGTCCAAGCTGCTCTGTCTCGGCGAGCGCCCAAAACGTGTGCCACGGAAATGAGATGCGCGACTGCCCAAACTGGGGCGTGTACTGCAGGTCGACGCCTTCGATGTGCGACAGCTTGGCCGCAGCGTGGCGGTAGGCCAAAAGTCCCTCGGGCTTGGACGTAAAATATAAGCTCACTTGTTTTTCGTCCTTGCGGTGCTCGAAGCTGACGTCGGTGACGCCGACGTTACTGTCGTCGAGGTTCTTGCTAAAGACGACGACGTCACCCGACCGCTTCTCTAGCGCAATCTCAGCGCGCTGCTTCAGAGCTTGGAGCGCTGGTCGCAGCGTCACTGCCGCAGCGCCTCGTGCAGGCACGGACATCGTGTTCAGGAAAGCAATGTGCTGATTGGCCCCATTTCTGCCAATCCAACGCCAACTTCAAACTGCACTTCGTCGTCATCTGAGAGAGAGCAGACATAAGAAAAGCCGCTTCGATCTTGTTATTCAATGCATCCGAATCAATATTAATTCTTATAGCGCTACAGGAGTGCTCTGTTTCCACTCCATATAGCAACGGAGCAGCGCCAAGGGTCAATAAGATTGCAGTGCTTTGTACAGAAAATTGGGTGCAGCTCATCGTTTTGATACTCGAAAGTCTTATTCCACACAATTTACGTGCTATGTTGCCTTCGACCAAATCGAGAATTAATAGCAAAATAGTTTAATAATTTCAAACCGAATCTCCATTTTTGTATATAAAGGTTGAAATATACTATGAATGCTCAACTTACAGCGTAATGAATCTAGTGCCATTGAAGTATCCGACGCGCCGGATACTGCGAGGCATGCGGTTTTAGTTGCTGCACCTCGACTAACTGAAATCCGGCGTCCGAGACAAGCAGAAGATGCGTCGCGGCAAGATGGGCATCGGCGCCGTCAAGTGGAAGCAGGATCAGAAGAAGGCATATGAGGAGGTCGGGACGCAGCTCACGCAGAGCCACCTCGTGCACGTCCAGGCGCAGCTCGACGTCTTCAAGGCGAACCTCGAGGCCTTCGCTGTCAAGTACAAGACGCAGATCAAGAAAGACCCGGCATTCCGCATGCGCTTCCAGGTCATGTGCTCCAAGATCGGCGTCGACCCGCTAGCGTCGCAGAAAGGTTTCTGGTCCGAACTCCTCGACATGGGCGACTTTTACTACGAGCTGGGCGTCCAGATCATCGAGGTGTGCATCCTCACGCGGCCTAAGAACGGCGGCCTCATCCCAATCCACGAGCTCCTTCGTCTCCTCGACAAGAAGCGGGGTCCGCGCATGCAGCGCATTTCTGAGGACGACATCAAGCGCTCCGTGAAGAAGCTCAAGGTGCTCGGCGAAGGCTTCCAAGTGATTGAACTCGGCGCCAAAACGATGGTACGCTGCATGATAATCATCCATGTTTTTTGCTGAACAAGCTTTTGGATACAGATCGTCACGGTTCCCGTCGAGTTGAGCCAAGACCACTCGGCCATCTTGCTTCTCGCGCAGGAAGCGCAGGGCATGGTCACGACGGCTCTTCTCGCGGAGAAGCTTCTCTGGGACGTCAACCGCAGCACGATTGCCCTCAACGTCCTCCTTCGCGAAAGCATGGTGTGGGTCGACGACCAGGTACAACCACCTTTGTCCATCCTAGCGTCGCTCAGTGGATATAGAACCCGGGAGCGCCCGCCTACTTCTTTCCAAGTATCGCAATGGGCTCGCAAGCCGGTACAGCGTGAACCAAAATCCTTGACGGTGATGAGGTTGAGAGTAACATCGAGCTGACTACTGTTTGTGCTTGTGACTGGGTCGGACAGTAGAAACGTAAAAGAGGCTGCTGCTCATGAGCGTGAGGACAGTCGCGCCGTACGCAGGACCGTCGACCGAAGCGATGTAGAGATACCCAGAGAGCACTACGCAACTCATAGTCAATACCCAACAGCAATGCGACGACATGTATACCGGGTGCAATGGTACGGGCGAGTGCCTGCAAGAACATTTGTGATGTGAGGAATCGTGATGAGGAAGAAGTATACCGTCAAGGAGGTCGAGAGACCGAGGATACCGCCGAGGTGCTGCGGCTGTACGGCCGCTGTTTGCATCGACAGGGAGCACGCGCGGAAGATGCTACGCGAGCGTGACAACGTGCAGCGAATGATCGACTTCTACACTGTACCTAATGCCGATTTCGCGCGGGATTTGGAGGAAGAGCACCATCCAGAGCGAGTTGGAGACGGCCGTCGCCAAGAAGGACACGACGCAGACGAGGCTCGTGGCCTGGATGAGCGTCGACTCGGACGGCGCCCTAGTCAAAACGTCGCGTCGGTTCTCGCAATGCCGGTGTCGATGGGTTTACATGGCGACAATGGGACCGACAAACCAGCTGCTGCACGCCGCCAGGACGCCCGTGTAGCTCAGAATGTACCCGCGTTGAATGGACGACGACGCGTACTTTTCTTCGAGCAGCAGCATAAAGTGACTCCTATAGATACAAGAGTCGTGGGTTATGACCATGTAACTGGAGCGTACCGGAAGAGGATGGACGCGCCCGACATGAGGAGACGCACGGCGAGGATGTTGCGGGCCTTTGGAGATGCTTTGAGAATGTCCTTGTACTCGACGATCTTGTGGAAGAAGGCGATGGGGAGCGACGGCTCGGGGTCCCGCGACGTCGACGGCGCTTGCGCTTCGAGGTCCTCGACCGTAGCATCTGGTGCCTTGGAGAGTGATGACGTGGGCGGTGTCGGAGGACACGGCGGTAGCATCGTGTAGACGACGGCGTAGTTGAAGACAAACATGATCGCCGTGAGGAAGGCCGTGATGTTGAAGCCATGCGGTTGATTGCTGAGGTACCCGCCGACGATCGGGCCAAATATGAAGCCGAAGTTGGAGTACGCATTGATCTTGCCAAGTGCATCGGCGCTAATTGCATGTTCAAGAGGCGTATCTCGATGCGTGGAAGTGTACCGAAGTGCCGGAGTTGTTTGGTCGGCCACGAGGAGCTTGACCGTGCTCATCGTGTGCTTGAAGATGCCAATCGGGATGCGCGAGAAGAGCGCCATGGACAGCGTCAGAGACATGCCGAGAACGACATAGCCGACCGTGGCGCCCGCAATACCCACGAGAAGCACCGTCCGACTACACACCCATGCGTCAAACGTCTCGTCTGCACAAGGCCCTTTATACCGGTCGAAAATGTCGCTGAGGACGCCCGCCATTGGCGATGTGACCGTTTGGATCGCGCCGTACATGGAAGTGATGAAGCCGACCGTGAGTGCATCTACAGCGTCTTCTCATGAGCTTAAGCCGAGTGCGAGCTGACGCACCGCCGCCGAGCGACTTGATAAAGGTTGGCAGGGATGGCATGATGAGCGAGACGGCAAAGAGGTCCACGAACGAGATGACGTAGAGCGCGCGGACCGGGTCCAAGCCCACGGGCAGCTTCGTCATGGTCATGGCGTCGACGTTGGCAGAATGATCGCCACGTGCCAAATCGCTTGTAGCGTCATCTTGGTGGGATTATCCGGAAGATCGGGTGCGGGTTACAGAGCCTCCGCACCCGGCCGCACCCACCTGTCGGCCCTCGTCGCTCATGCGTCGTGTTCCAGTGCGTTTCGACTACGCGCCCGACTAACAGACGATGTGTACACACTTGAACGGTGGTTTCTATTATCGTGAAAGTACCTTGAGCTTGTCGGCGTGCGCTGTTGAGTAGAGTCGCTCGGCGCTTGATGTCTCTTGGCAACAGACGCGGGGAGAGACAGCCCGAGAGGATTATACAGTGCAGAGCGAGGATGCTTCGCGAGAAGTCTCCTCGCTGCCTCGATCTGGCGAGACGTATGACGATGCGCGCGTCGCTGCACTCGCTCGAACTGCCATGACAAGTGGATCTACCCCCATTGGTGATATGCTGCGACACACGCGTAAAGGCAGAGAGCTCCCTTTGGACGTGATGGATCTGGTGATGGATTGCCTGCCCAGGCCCTTCGCGCGATCACCTGAGGTTCCGGCATCTTCGACGTCCTGGCCGACCACGTGGTACGTTGCGCTGGCTCTGCGGACCGCTGTAATCTCGTGGATTGTTGACAATGTACATTGTACCACAATGAATTACTGCACCCAACTGGAAGCAGCAATTGGTACAGCTGGTAATAGCAACAGCGTCGTCGGCTCGAATTGCTCGACTTTAATTTCGACAGCAGTTTCTACGACAATCTATTGCTTTTGCTTTGCTGGCGTCGACCGGAAAAGCGAGACCCAGAAAAGCCCACAGCTCATGGCCGCAAGCACCGTCGCGCCATACGCAGGGCCGTCGACCGAGACGACGTACAAGTACCCCGAGAGCACTACGAGGACAAGACTGTGAGGCCGCAGATACGACAGAAACGAACGTACTGGGAGCGACCGTTCGTGCCAACGCCTACACACGACGCGAATCAATATTGCACGAACCACATGCACATGGGCTACCGTCAAGGAGGTCGAGAGGCCAAGAATACCCCCGAGATGTTGCGGTTGAACGGCCGCGGTCTGCAGCGACACGGAGCACGCACGCAGGATGCTGCACACCTCCATCGCGTCAGTCATCAAAGTGATGATAGAGACAACCTTATGGCAATCACTTGAGGCGCCTGGAGCACAAGTACCATCCAAAGTGATGTCGCCATCGCCGTGCCAAGGAAGGACGCGACGTACACAAGACTCGCAGCGAGAATGAGCACCGCCTCCGAGGACGCCCTAGGTGATCCGTTTAGTCTTTCTAGGAAGCTTCACAAATATGTTCGTACAGAGCCACGATGGGGCCGACGAAGTAGCTGCTGCCGGCCGAGACGACGCCCATATAACTCAAAATGTAGCCGCGCTCGACGGACGACGACGCGTACTTTTCCTCAAGAAGCAGCATAAAGTGACTCCTACGCATGCGTCACGCATCATCAAGCACCACCGCGTCTTACCGAAACAAGATGGCCGCGGCCGCCATGAGGAGACGAACGAGGAGGATGTTGCGGGCGAGGGGCGACGCCTTCAGAATCGACATGTAGTCGCGGAGCTTGGCAAGCACGGATGCGACCAAGGACGGTGGCGACGGCGACGCTGGTGACGCAAGCAGCGACGCAACGTCGTGGAGCTCAAGGTCTTCGGCTGCATCGTCTTCGTCGAGCAAGATTGGTCGGTGCGCGGGTGGCGTCGGAAGGTACGACGGCAGCATCATGTACACAAGCCCGTAGTTGAGGACAAAGACGATGGCCGTGAGGAGCGCTGTGACGTTGAAGCCATGAGGACGGCTACTGAGGTACCCGCCGACAAGCGGCCCAAAGATAAAGCCAAAGCTCGAGTATGCGTTGATCTTGCCCATGGCGTCGGCGCTAGTCGCATCCGTGAGGTGAGATGTAGCAAGGCGTGGATTAGATACCGATGGGCTGGCAACGTTTGGTCCGCGACGATTAGCCGCACCGTGCTGAGCGAATGCTTAAAGATGCCACACGGTACGCGCGAGACAAGCGCCATCGAGAGTGTTAGCGAGAGCCCAAGGAGGACGTAGCCGACGGCGGCGCCGGCGATGCCAACGAGGAGCACGAGACGGCTACAGCAGAATGCGATGCGCAATGGTCGAGAGCAGTTTCCAGCACAGACCGATCGTAGATATCGCTGAGGACGCCAGCAAGCGGTGAGGTCACCATTTGAATGGCACCATACATGGACGTGACGTAGCCCACTGTGAGCGCATCTACGAGCGATACGTCGGGTACATTGGCGAGAGGCGATCGTACCACCACCGAGGGACTTGATAAAGGCGGGTAGCGATGGCACGATGAGCGAGACGGCGAAGAGGTCCAGGAACGAGATGAGGTACAGCGTCTGCAGCGGATCCACCTTCATCGTCGTCCTGCGGTTGAAACGAAGATGGGCATGATACACGCGGCGACAGGATTGGCCAGCTCTCTCTGCAAGGCCATTGGCTGGACGATTGGGAGGCCGTTTCGATTGGCCCAAATCCACGAGCAGCTTGGAAGCGATGGCGGTGTGCGGCAAGGCGAAGGAACTGCTCCAGGAGCTCGGACGCAGCGAGTGGCTCCCGCCCTACAACGTCTGCGGCTACGAGCATGCTTGATCGAGTCTTATGCGCGGTCGCGATAGGAGGACAGCATTCGCCAAATCAGCGAAGAAGTGCATGCACTCAACAAGCAAATCGTCAAGACAATCCAGTGCTGCAACTTTCGGTGACTGTACCTGCATGCTCAGCGGGTGTGACTAGAACCTTTGATAACGAGCTGTCCGAGTACCCGGCCGAGCAATGCGGCGTCGTGATCAACCACCAGTGCCTGACGCGCAACAAGCGATGCACGCTGGCCTACGTGTAAACCCTTCCGAGTATCATGCATCCATATCACGACTGCCGTAGGAACCACCGCGTCAACAAGATCAAGGAGCTGCGCTGGCAAACGGGCAGTGTTGTGCCAGACCATTTGGCGCCTGCGTATGAGTCCAGCGTGAATAGCCCTCGAAAAACAAACGCTTGTAGGTTGCACGCGCGCGAGGTGCAGTTCTTCCACGGCTACGACCAGCTCCTAACCGACTATATGTCGAGCTTTGGCATCGACTTGGCTGCGGTTTGATTCTCTCGGCCCGACTTGACATGCTAACTTGATGGCATTAGGACATGCAGCCACCAAAAGACTTGTTCATTGAGGTGCGCGTCTTGAAGGACTGCGGCGAAATCTACACCGAGAACGGCGCTGTGCACCTCCGCGCCAACAGCACGCACTTCCTCAGGCGCATGGACGTCGAAGGACTCATTCGCCAAGGCATGCTCGTCCAGCTAAAGCATTAACCTCGTTTACGAACTGCGTGTTTGATTCTTCACCGACGCACGGATGCAAGAACTCGATTAGGCACATTAACCTTCTCGGGGCCAAGCTCTGGACACCGCGGAGAACCGAGGATGCACCAAGAAAGTGGTAATGAATGCTTCAATATATTCTTTCAGATATTGGGTAATTGGGCTTACACTTTCCAGCAATCAAACTATGATCCGAAATTGGCTGCTGCTTTAAGCCCGTAGCTGCTCGGGGAGTCACAGACTTTCTCTATAGTTTATCAATGGTACTGGAAGTCGCTAAAAAGTAGTAGAACTCGGAGGATCGCTTGTAGCCCAAGGACTCGTAGAGCGCTTGCCCGGCTAGATTGTCGTGACCGGTCTCGAGCACGAGACCTTTCGCGCCAGTGGCGTGGGCGTGCGCAGTCGCAGTCGTCATCAATCGCCGGCCGACGCCTGCTCGACGCGCGCTCACGTCGACGAAGAGATCGTTGAGGATCCAAAGCCGCTGGGTCGTGACGGACGAGAAGCTCGGGAAGAGGTGCACAAAGCCCACTAGACGCCCACCGAGCGAGGCCACAAAGAGCACAGTGTCGTTGGCCGTCAATCGCTCGATGAGAAAAGCCTCTGCACGTGCCACGTCACTCGGCTGGTCATAGAAGACGCGGTAGGCATCGAATATCGGCGCCAGCTCGACGACGTCGACCAGAGTCGCCCGGCGAACGTCCACGGTCGTCATTTGCAGCGCTGTTGGCGACTTTGTGTGTGTTTTGAACACAAGATTGCAAAGTGTTTACTACATTTTGATTTAAACGCCAAACTTTAATAAATTTTCCTCTATATTGCATCAATTGCTTAAAACGAATCGAATGTCACTGGAGCCGGAAACTTGGCGCTTGCTAGCGCTGCTACCGCTGACTAGCCGACTCACCCGCGCAAGCAGTCGCGATGGCGCTGCGGGCCGCAGCATCTTGACGATCATCAAGCAGCAAGCACGAGCGGCCACCATGAACGGCCACGAAGATCACGTCGAGATATCGCCTTGCTTATTGCTCATTGGCTACATTGCGCCAATCGGCTTTGGTGACAAAACATTTTGACCAATGAATTCAGGTCCCAAAGCATCGAAACCGAGCAAGCCCACTTCCCGATCCCCGTCGTCACCATGTCATCGTCGGCGGCGAGTGGCGTCGCCTTTGGCTTCCTCGCGTACATGCTCTGGGGCTTCCAACCCGCGTACTGGAAGCTGCTGGAAGACATGGACTCGTACCAGCTGGCCATGCACCGCGTCGTCTGGTCCGGGCCCATCGTGCTGCTCGTGCTCGCGGTCCGTCGGGACTTGCCCGCGTTTGCTGCCGTGCTGCGCCAGAAAGCCATGTACCAGACGTATGCCGTGACGGCGCTCTTGCTCAGCGCCAATTTTTTCCTCTCGCTATGGGCTGTGAACGTGGGCTACGTTCTTCAAATGAGTCTCGGCTTCTTCATCAACCCTCTCGTGACCGTGCTCCTCGGCGTCGTCTTTCTCCACGAGAGCTTGGCACAAGTGCAGTGGTGCGCCATCGGGCTCGCAGCCATCGGCGTCGTCGTCGTCACGGTCGGCGAAGGCGAGTTCCCGTCCGTCGCCCTCTCGATTGCGTTTGTCAATGGTGTCTTCGTGCTCCTTCGAAAACTCGCGCCCCTCAACGGCCTTCTTGCCACCGCCATGGAGATCTCAATGATGACGGTGCCTGCGGCCATGTACCTGGTTTGGTGCGAGGTCCAGGGCACGGGTGTTTTTGGCCACGTGAGCTTTGGCTCGGAGCTACTCATCGTCGGCTGCGGCGCGTGGTCTGTCGTGCCGCTTTTGCTGCTGAGCCTCTCAATCGACCGCATTCCGCTCGTGATCCTCGGCGTGTTGCAGTTCATCGGACCGACGCTCAATACGCTCCTCGGCCTCTTTGCCTTTGGCGAGGTGCCATCGCAGAGCCTTGTCATTGGGTTCACGTGCGTCGTCTTGGCGCTGATCGTGTTTACGTATACAAGTCTCTCGCCGCCCACGAAAGGCGATGAGAAGGCGCCGTTGCTGCCGCAAAAGGCCGTGTCGTAATAGAGTATTCTGCTGTTGCATTTTGTGTGCTGGGAAGAGCGCCGCTTTCGCTCGAAATCGACCAATTGTACTAAGGTGCGCTAGACACTAAGACATTATACCAAGTAGGGAATTGCTGGTAGCTACAACATTAAACACATCTACTCGTCGGTTGACGTGGCAAAGGGACCTGCAAAGCGCAGTGTCAAGCGTCGCAGTGTCGCTCGAGGTGTATAATCCATGAGATGCCACTCGGGCACGCGCTGGGTCCCTGGACTGCCAGTATTCTAGCACAATAGTTTAACGATGAACAGAGCGAAGAAGCCATACCGCAAGGAGCTCGTTGCACCATCCACCAAGGGTCCGCCGCTGATGCACATCTCGCCACGTCTAAATGCCATGGGCCCGCGTTAGACCTTGCCCGCCGAAATAAATGGTCATCTACGTAAAAGAAGACTGTCGCCAACAGCGTTGCTTTCGCTTGTGCGCGAGCTCCGCAAAGGCGGTAAACAAGCATCTGCTGTCGACGCACAGCCGCCTTGGAGCCATCCACGACATTGTGCAGGTGCTCAATATCGCGCTGCAGCAAGGCGCGCTTGTCGCTGCCACTGCATTGGTCTAGCTCGTTCTTTGTACGAAGCAGAGTGAGGTCGGTGTGCAGCTGATGCAACTGAGCGCTCTTCTCCTGATTGGACAACGTCAGCGAGTCGATGTAGCGGTAGGCTACGTCGCGCTCCAGCACGGCCTGCGCATGTATTCTATCAAGTTGTTACTACGGAATCGAAAGTGTACCTGGTGGCACGCTTGGACGATCGCGGTCGATAATGTCGATGATGGACTGAGCTCGGCAACAGATTTCCGAAGTTGACCCAACGACTCCCGGGTAGCAGTGAGCTCGTGGGTGAAGCGTGACAACGCGGCTTCGCAGCGCTGAAGCTGGAGAGCCATGTGCGCGTTCTTGGCACGTTGTGTGGTCCCGTTCCACGTCAAAAAGACAATTTGTTGCAGCTGCAGGTCTCGTGCGCGATCGAGGCGACGGCAGCTCCAGTCGAGGAGCTTGTCGTGGCGAGTGAGAAGATTTTGGGTCCCCACTACGAGTCTCTATCGCAGAAGCCTTTTCATAAGCGCGTTTGGATGACGAGATGGTACCTCTTTTTCGTCTTCGTACTGTGCCCAGGCACGACGTTCTTCGTCTGCGGACTCGCGCTATGCGTATAAGGCGGCGGTTTACAAAGCGTGGAGGCGTTAGAAAGTACGAGAAGCGTCGTTGCAGCTTTAGCGTCGGCGACCTCTCGCGTGAGTCGCGCCACTGTTTGAGCCGAGTCTTGTGCATCCAAGCCCTAAAGCAGGGCATGTTCTGCCAGAGCTAGGCTGCTGCGCTGTACCAGGGCTGCAAGCTGCGCCTCGCAATCATCGCGTGCGGCTTGCACGGCGCAAAGTTCAATTCGAAGCTGCTCGACGACGCGGTCCCTCTCAGCATCCTATTCGCAGGGCTCTGTCCGCATCGGTCCATTATGGTAATTCTACGTGCTGCATATGGTGCCGCGATGCTTCCTCCAGCAGCGCAATCGTGGATTCGAGCTCTTCTTTTTGCTGGCGCTGTGCCTCCGATGTGGCTTGGTATTCCTCCGCTCTCTAAAAGCGCGATGGGCCAGTAAAGTAGTCGACGTGACCTACTTTGTGGTAGTTATCCATGATGTGGCGGTTCTCGGACTCGAGGTATGCGATTGTCTTGTCTCGTTGGACTACAGTAGCTTCTTGCTCGATGAGCGCGGACCGTGTCGTCGCAATCTCTTGCTGAAGACGTAGCTGTGTCGCCCGACTGTCGTCACGGGAGTCTTCGAGTCCCTGGATACGATGTCGCAAGTGCTCGTGCTCGTTCATGTCGAGCCGGCGAAGCTGATCCACCTGGTCAAGAACAGTCGCAACTTTCTCGACACCCAACACTCCGCACCTCCTTGAACTTGCCTTCGTAGTAGGCAACTTGGCCTTGAAGCTCGTGGATCTTGGCTGACATTTTGCCTTCGAGCTTGGTGTACGTCCCCATCTTGGCTTCGTACAGCGCAAGGTCTTGATCCCGAGCTTGGAGCTGGAGGAATAGATATTCGGCCTTCTCATGCAGCAAGTACAGTCGCGACGGGGGACCTCTCTTGTGCTACGCTAAGTTTAGGACTTCAACATCATGCGGAGGAGTGTACTGGGATTAGATTGCAGATATTGGTAGTTGGAGCCATGTGGGGTGCGGAGGTGGCGCAGGCGTCAGTCATGGTGCGGGTGAGGTACAAAACGGTTTTTACGAAACGATGGCACACCCATCGACCAAGAGACTAGGCTTCTGACCTTGAAAGCCACAAGTATTCCCACGGCCCCACCGGTAATTCTGTAGAGGTGCTGTATATTCTATGGCTCCAATTACGTCCGGTGAGGGCCTAATTGGAGCGTCGTTAAATGCGACCGAGTTGCACGCATCGGAGGTGGCTCTCAACTTCAGCGGCCAGCGGCACATGGAACATCCAAGAAATGCTCCTTGTCTCCGAAAACAACCTCCAGCGGCTTTAAACCCTTGCTAC